GATGTCTATGCAGTCTGTACATTCTTTTGCACTATATTATCATAAAAATATTCTAGTTCTTGCCTGATATGTACTTGCTAGTGGCTGAATATTGTCATAGTCGTCTCAATTCATTAATTTTATAACACATTGTATGGTTACAACTTTGATTCTTCTCTTAACAACTGGTCACATATTTATTCATAATTTTACAGGTTACGGGATGCCGATCACCTTATGTAACCTCAAACGTTTTGTCGGATAGGTTTTACTAAGCCTACAAATAATTTTCATCAGATATCTGTTATTGATGTTTATAGGCAGTGGCCAATAAACATTAGCTGCCTTCTGTATTTCATTTGGAAGTAACAGGGAGCCAACTCTCATAGTTTTTTTGGTCTTTTAAAAAATATATCCATGAATCCATAGAAACCGATGTAAAACTTATTGTTGGTTTAATGCAGTATTTTACTAGTCAATGTTATTGGTTTAATGTTTCAATTGAATTATCGAAACATGTTTAATGGTGATGTGAGATGGTACGAGCAATTAAAACCCAGACGTAAAAGCCTAGAAACATGGCTGAAAGACTAAGAATACACCAAAAGACTTGAAAAAAATGGGAAGTTTTCATAATTATATATGCTTTCAATGGAGCTTAATTTGGTGATATTTATACCCCATTTTTTTATAGCAATAATGGATGGTTTCCATTCCTTGAGCAAATTGGTGGATTTCCATCCAGGAAGCCTAAAATAAAGCTAAGTTATGAATCTGATGCCGCACTAAATCTATATCTTTTGAATTGTTTACTTAAAAAGCAATGTCACATGGGATTGGTAGGCATATTAATGGTTGGAAAATGCTTGATAAACCTTTTTTCAAGGCCTAATACTGTCCTGAGAACCTCAAATTTTCTCAGAGATTTTTCTGCCAAAGGAAATTCACCACACTCTTGTATAAGCCATGATATTGGTCTGCTAAATGCATAATTTAATGATATCTGGACCACCCTTTTAAGTACATTAATCTGATCTTTTAGGGTTTTTAATTGCCAAAAGTCTGGTCTTTAAAATGGAAAAAAGATCATTTCTGCAGTATGCAGAACAGGAGCTTGGGAGGGTCCCAAAGTTTTTCATTTATGTAGTGCTTGAATGGGTGATCATATTGATTCTGTTTATGGACGGGTTTCTTGGATATTTAGCCAACGTATTAGCCAAAGGGTTCGGTTTGGCTATCCCTTGCTTGCTTTGCACCAGGATTGAGAATGAACATTTCTATTACAATGATTCCATATGTAGCAACCACAAGAAGAATGTTTCATTTCTTGCATTCTGTCATGCTCACAAGAAGCTTTCTGACATGCGAAACTTGTGTGAAACTGTCTTCTGTCTTTCGCTACCGAGAAAGAAGCCGATTGTCATAATTACAAGTCCCTCCTCGGGATCTTACACAAGGACATTGAACTGTTTCTTGACGAGGAACATCAAGTTCATTTGTCATTGCCTTCTGGAACAAAAGATGTTCTGAAGAGCAACGATCATTGCTGTGCATGTTGTGGGGAGCCGTTGAAGGTGAAATCGTCCGATCCTAAATGGAAGAGTTCTTACCTGTCACCCCTCACTCCTGCCCCATCTCCCCGTGCACCGGTCAATCGAAATTTTGATTTTCCTTCTCACATTAAATGCTCATCTTTCAAGCTTAACCCGAATCCAAAGGAACCAGATGTCCTTGATCTCTCAAGAGGAACAACAGTGGAAAGGCCGTGTGAGTTTAAAGCTTAAACTACCATTTGGTTTCATATTCCTTAATTTATTGATTTCGCCACTATGAAAGGAAATTTTCCTTCTTCCTATCATATATTTTCAATGGAAAAGGTCCAATATGAATATATTTTTAGCTATACATTCCGTGTATGTTCATTTCATAGTTGTCTATATGTTTGATCTCTGGATATGCATCATATACGAATACTTAAAGGAAAAAATATGGATGTTTCAACAGTGGGGGGACATGTCAAGGCTGGTTCCTTACCATTGCTGATTGATGCTGAGGAACCTAAGACCCCTAAGTTTTTCGGAGTCTCCTTAACGGATTACACAGCAAACAGTCCGAGATTGGCGAAAATTCCAAGGAAATCACCGCTCGAGAAAACAGAATTTGCTTCAGAATCTGCAGAGGGGCAAGTGCCGAATCATGAGGCCGAAGGTTATATTTGGCAACATCTGAAGGGACAAGTTCGCATGAATCGCAAGTCGTTGATGTCATTGTACATGGAACTGGATGAAGAAAGAAGCTTATCAGCTGAGGCAGCTAATAATGCAATGGCAATGATCACTAGGTTGCAAACTGAGAAGGCAGCAGTTCAATGGAAGCCTTACAATACCAGAGAATGATGGACGAACAGGCCGAATACGACCAAGTAGCCCTGCAAGAGATGTACAATTTGCTGGTTAAAACAGAAGAACAACTTCAAGGTTTACAGGCTGAACTCGAGGCTTATAGACAAAAGTATGGATTCTTAAAGGACTTCGATTTTCCGAAACAAAGTATTAAGACCGGCGACCGCAACAATGTCATGAAACTACTATCTTACTCTTTCAATGGAAGAGTTGAATGTGGCACCAATACTTTTATACGTAATCAGCCCCCCAAACTACAGAACCTTGAGCAGGTTGACGAGATAGAAGACGAAGAAGCCAACGAACAACCGAAGAAAGTACGTCGAGGCGCTCGTCACTTAGGACGGTTGCAAAATCTAGACAAGAGCGGACATATTTCATTTCGTATGCAAAATGATTCTGAAATGGAAGAAGAAACAGGTAGCATGCTTATAATGACAAATATGGTGTACTTGATCTGCAATGGCGGCCAAAGATGGCTTTCGAAATTTCATGCATTCTTCCTTTTTTCAAAACCATTCAAGAACAACTGACTCTGCAATGTTCCAGGAAACGGGAGCAACATTCATCATTGAATCAGGCGATGAAGGTACCGATCTTTCGGATGAAGAAGGCGTCAATCGAAGAACTAATGACAGATTTCTCTTCTACTAATGCTTCATTAATAATGCCTCATGCTGAAAGTTGGGATGCATAATTATCTTCAAACTTTTGCAACTATTAATGCATGAATATTTGCCATTTCTGGTAAATTATTTTACACCTATAGTACATAATCGTATTGCAGGACTAGCAGCAAATTGAACTCTTCAACAACTTGGCAAGCAATCAAGTTTTTGAGCTGCAATGGAATCAAATAAATGAGATTATAGTTTGAACTTGAAATTAGTGATAAGAAAACGTTAGTATGTTTGTGTATATATATTGGTCTGAAAATATCGACTCACTTTGCATTTTTTTTAATGAACAGAAAGAAATAAGGCTACAGAGCAGTCTTCTAAAAATTACTGAGAAGTTAATGGTTTCTTGTCCATTTTGCTTCTTCTTTTTCCTTCGGTTCTCTAAGATTTTGTCTTGACTAATCCAGATTGACTCGTGTACACCTGATTTTGATGGGTGACGACGAATTTATACGAGAAGAGAATAATACTTTATTTTCCAATGATCACAACTTTTGATTTGTTAAAAGGTTCTCCTATATCCAAAACGTAGCTCAGGTAATTCTTACAACCACCTTTGAAAAAATAATTTCTATTGCTACTGTAAAAGTTCGAAGGTATACTAATCTGGGACCAATTATACCCTTCCATAACAAGCTGGTGAGATCTAGATATCAGGGTGAACCCATTCGTGTGGTTGAACTTTCGACGGTAGGTAAATTTAACTTAAATAAGGAAGATTGTCGTGTCAGTTTATTTATTTTTAAAAATGTTTTTATTCGATTCTAGTTTATTTAGATTTTTAATATTATGTTTGTGTATTTATTTTTTAAGAGATTCGTGTTAAATTTATTTAACGTTCACGAATTTGTTTGTCTAATATTCTACAACTAACATTCTCTTTTAACTTTTATTTGCAAGACAAATAAAAATGGTAAAATCATGCCTCAAGTCCTTAATTTCCTTGGGCTTCACAGTTTAAACTTCAAAGTTTACCTTGTGTTCAATTTAGTCCCTACCTTCACCAATATTTAAATGAAGGAAAAAAAAGGAGAGAAACAAGTTGATAAACGAACCAATATGTCTGAGAATTCAAATCTGACTCCCAATCAGTGCAGTCAGAGGTAAATAATCAAAGAGAGCTGTGAAATACTTCCATACATTAGCATTTTCCTTATTTTCTCAAGTATTCACCATAAAAGCCATGCCTGAAAAGAGAGTATCCATACTCCATTTTTCCAACGTCCTTACAAGAAACATCAGTTGTGCCTTACTCGGATTACATACAAAACCAAAAGTTTCATTTGGTCCCTACAAAAAGTTGCAAACGAAAGTTTGATTCTTCGTAAGAACATGGTTATTTCTTTTCGCTTGTGGAGCCTGTGAGAATTCGGGCTTTGGCCGAATGAGCAGCACTAGGCCCCACCTCCAACACTTCACTAAATTATTCGAGAGAACCAGTCAAAAGTGCTTCATTACCAGTCCTTTCAACACGCAATCAAGTAAAACGCTCCATCCTTTACACAAGTTCACTTGGACAAATGCTTTTCACCTGTCATGTTACAGGCAAGTTCACAAGATCACCAGGGCTTTGCACCAAAACTAAAGTATCAATCTTTCACTTGTTTTGCAGACTTCTAAACTTGCAAGTTTAAATAAGAACACGCCAATAACTCCATTTGGCTATGGGCATGGACCCTATATTGGGACAACCACTGTCAAAAAATTGAATGCCGAGTCACGGCACATGACACCCTATGCTCAGAATCTGCAGTAAAAAATGTGAATAGCTTTGCAGAGGGGAACATGGGGTCCTCTCTACCTTAAGAGACTCCTATTAGTGCGCGGACCAACCATAGTCTGCCACGTTTAAATGACTCCTAGGGTGCTGAAATCAAAGCATCTTCCACTCTCTACCAGTGTGATGAATCAAAATGTAGGATCAAATTAAACAATATGAGGTGCTAATGGATTCTGTATTTTATAAACCGCATACAAGGTTACTACATTAAGAATGTTCATACAGGTTAAGACCACTTGAACAAGGACTTAAAATATCCTCTCTTTTTTTCTTTGTTCTTATGAAAAGCAATGTACAAGCTACAAATGGGAAAAACAATCGACGCTTTATGGTTCCAAAAGTTTTGATATACTAGCTATGCTATTTTAGCTTCGAAATTGTTCTAGGTTTGTCACCAAACTTCAATCAGCTCTTTGTACACTTGTCTTAAACAAGAGAACATATAGCTTTTGATCCATTGAGAAATAGAGAAACCCACCAACTGAATGTGTTACAAAAGACCCGAAGCTCGTTCCCACAATACAATGCCATGCTGGTCCATACACACCATCAAACTCCTGCAAACCCAAAAGCAAGTTGTTCAATCCCAAACTGAAATTCCCAGATCATTAGTTCATAGAATCAACAAAGCAAAGTGGGGGAAATGTGTTATTTTTAATTAAATTAATAACCTTTACCTTTTTGAGAGTGAGTGCAAGGGCTTTAGAAGTGAACTTTTCAAGGCTATCATGAGTCTTCCTTGCACAATCAACCGCATGGATTTGCATAAACGGTGGCATATCAACTGAAACGATTTTGACACCACAATTTGCAAGAATACCAACCATCTCTACTTGTGAACCGCTTAAGGATCTTCTCCTGCTTATGAAGCTGAAGCTTTGTCCATATCACGATCATCAACATGCCCTTCGTGTAGATTCTTCAACTGTTTCTCCTTCACTGTCGTCAAAGCTAATTTATTGCTATCAAGCACTGATCTTTGGCGATGTTGTTGTTTCTTTCCACCCAAATCCTTCGATGCTTTGGCCTTCTCATGGGTCAGAAAGTGGCCTGCTTTGATAAGTGAAAACCTGGAGGAATCAGCATCAGCTGAGACCGTCAAAGCTTTGGCTTGTAAACGAATGTCTCTACTCTGCTGGTTGTTGGTGGATTTTTTGGGTGCGCGGGTTTTGTGATTGAGGTTCAATCTAGAGAAGTGATTGGTCATGAAAAGGGCTTCTTGGAATCCATTAATGGATCTGAGGTTTGGGTTATAGGATGAGAGGTTTTAGTGGATTTGGGCGAACTTTTTAAGGTGGGGTTAAAAGGATGGGGAGATGGGTTCAGTTCCGGTGCGGCTGAGCTGCGGCGGTGCGCCATGGCTATAGAATTGCCGGTGTTGTTGGAACTGGAGAAAAGGGAGGAGAGATGGGGCCGTTAAGGTTTCTTTAAGGGGCGGGTGTGGGGATTGATCGATTCATTTTCGCTTTTACCCAAAATTAGCATATAAAATTGGTGAAATTTCATTTTTAGTCCGTTTATTATGTGTAAGCTATAAATTTAGTCTATAGACTTTAATTTAATTAATTTTAATTATATACTTTTTTAATTTTAATATATCACTCCAAACTTAAATGATATAGTGATAAATAAAAATAAAATTTGACTTAATAAAGTGTTAACCCATGATTTGCCTCAAATGGGCAAATTGTTCTCCAAGTTTACTAACCTTAATCTCAATTATTATTTTTAATGTTATATGGTTTCAATTCTTATCCGATGAAACTTAAATTTTAGACCATCAAGCTAATTAGACTCGTTGTTTAAATTATCATAGGTTCGAGTTAACGTGTGAATATTAACCATGCATTTTTAGTCGTTACATTTATTAACCTTGTTATTTTTTGTTGACATGATAACATTAGATTGTGTCATATGTCAATGATGGTATCATCTTCTACTTTTTAAGTCTTTTAAATTATCAAAAAGATTATAAAAATAATAAATGTTCAAAATAAAAATATCAGAACAATGTATGGAAATAAAATCCGGGTACTAATTCGAGAGCATAATTTTTTTAGGTACCATCTTAAGAGAAGGTGCTTAGTTTAGGTACCGAATGAATAGTTAACCCTAATTAATTTAAATGAAAAACTCGAATTCAAATACTAATTTGAATAGGGAAAAAAAATCAAATTCAAGTATTTAATTGGACTAGAAAAACTTCAGGTATCAAAGTAAACCTTGTAGTCAAGTTCAGCTATTTAATTGGATCACAAATATTTATATACCAAATTAAACCTTGAAAATAAGTACAAGTACCAAACTGTATATTTACTCTAAATTTGACCGTGAAAGAAACATGGGGATTTTTAGAAAGGTGCAGCCACTGACTGTGTTAGAATAGGTGCAGCCACTGACTGTGTTAGAATAGGAATGGATGGACAGCCATATTAGCTTTTCTTAACAAATACAAGATAAATAAATTTAAAAACAAAAGAACGAGCATGAACTATGTATTCGTATGATCTTGGTCATCTATTATTATGAAGTGTTCCTAAAAGAAAGAAAGAAAAAAAGAAATTTAAATTAAAAAAATATAAATATAAGTGTCTATGTATCGTGCCTAAAAAAATTTCTCTTGTTTAACATTTTCAGAGCATTTTTTTAGACCATAACGGCCGTTAAATTTGACCATTAAGTTACATATGTCACGTTATGGTAATTTTGAGAATTTATTTAAAATATAACAATATTTTTTATTATTAAAAAAACCCCAAACAACCAGCCTGTTCCCCCTCACTTCCCCCTCCCCTTCCATAATTGTCGGCCGACCAATCGTGACCGTCACCGCCACCTTCATCGGCCCCCGATCAAACCCCATTGACCTTTCGTCATAAAGTGCCACTGTTTGCCGTTAAGAAATGTACAAATGTTCGTCGGATTTTAAGCCATCGTCGTTGTTTTTCGTCAATTCTGGTCGGTTCTGACGTCCATAAGCCACTGTCACAACTTTTTTGAACCACCATGAAATTCTAATCAAAAGCCAAGTGTTCAGTGACAACAGTGGCCGGAGATGCCGTCGACGACTGATAATGGGTTATAATGAGATATTTTAGTTTTTTAGAGTTTTTTTTATAATTTCACTAAAAGTTTGGGTTTTTCTAATAAATAAATTAAGTTTTTTTTTAAAAAAATTAAAATAATAATATGATTATTAAAAAATTAAAATATAATGGTAGTCATCTAAAAGTATAATTGAGAAAACGTTAAACATCTATTTTTAACAAAAATTTATTTAGACACCAAAACGTTTTTTAGTAAAGTTTAACAACTTATTTTTGTGTTAAACCAAAAGAAAATTTAAATGATTTTATAATAAAAAGAGGATAACTAATCATATCAAAATTTATGTTTTAACATTATTTTTTAAAAAATAATTAATGCCAAATGTGTGAATGCGAATGTGTATGCTTTTATACCAAAATTAATCTTCAACTTAAGTTGAAACGTGTTTTTGAAAACTAAAATTTTTAATTTTTAACTTTCGTCAAAAATATTTTTAAACAGAACGATTATTTTATTCTTGTTCATATTACCAATTCTTCTACATTTAAAAAAATAAAAAATAGACATTTTGTTTATTTAAAAAAAATTACAATAATATTAAACACCTAAATATTAAAACATAAAATCTAAAAAACAGTACTAAAGTAACCCTAAGAATAGGGGAGGCAGGCAGCCAGGTAGCACAAGGGTGATAAAAGCATTAAAACTACAGGGCTGAGGGCTAATCCCAGTTTTCTTATCGGTTACAAATATTTTGGTAAAAAAGGGTTATTGTGCATTCAAGTGGATAAGCTAAAAACTCCTGAATTCCCATCCACCGCACTGCCGTAGGTTTGTTTCAATGTAGACATGCTAAAAAATGACTACCTGCTCTACACCTCTCTCTCATCATCTTGGCTGCAAACCCTCGTGGGATTGCTTCCAGGTAGAGTGAAAGCCCTCGGAGGAATCCCAACGATAACTTCCTCGATTGGCTTATCGCAAAATTTATAAATTTTACTAACATACACTATGCTTCTCCCCCAGGAGAAAATTACAACATTTCCTCTCCACCAGACAAGCGCTAGAAACCGTTGTTATCGTCGTCTTTCATTATTGAATTCAGATCGTCGTCACAACCAGGACTCGGAGCCAGCTCATTAAGGTCAAGGAAGCGTGGTTTCCGTTCACCACCTGCTTCGTCTTGTCCGCTGCCACTTGATTGCTCAGGTGGCAGACTTTGCTCTTTCTCCACCATCTCCGAGTTGCCTTCTTCCATAGGTGGATCGACTTCCATTTCTTGGTCATCATCACTACCATTGGACTCTTTACTTCCTTCTGAATATTCCTCATTCTCACTTGCATCAGAGTGTTCTCTTGATGGATTGGGCTTTTCGGGTTTCGACTCTGTTTCAGATTCCGACAGCTCATACTGTTTATAATCAATACGATTTCTGGTGGATCTTTTACTACGCCTTAGACCTGATGAAGCTCATCGACTGACCTTAGCTTAGTTTCCCTCCGAGTACGGCCTGCCAACTTCTTGACTTTGGGGGCCTCATCACTGTCGTCACTGATACTAAATGAATCCTCTTCTTCCTCCTCATCTTCAGCATTTTCCTCATCCCAGTGATACTCCTCGTCTCCTTCTGAGCTGCTGGATTGCCTTATCTGTTTTCTTTTTCTTAGGTATTCCTCGTCATATACTGCTTCTCCAACTATATCATCATCACTGACAAAGTCTGCCTCATTGTCTGAAACAGCTTCGACAAATTCTTTCACCAAATATCGTTGAGGTCTCTGCCTCCGCCGATTGCTACAAGGGATCATATAACATATTAGGTAAAGATTACAGAAAAAAATAGAAGCAATTCAGCAATGAAGTTTATCATACCTACGATCCAATTCCCCAGATTTATTATCATCAAAATCATCATATTCAGATGATTTGGGGGATGGTATATTGTAATTGTCCTGTTCAAAGCCATGTGAAGGACCACTCAATTTACCATTTGCAGAAGGTTCAGGTTTGGCATAATCTCTTCCACTAAGAGGATCCGGTGATGGTGCTTTCCGCCTGACACACGGTCAACAGTGAGCATACATATTAAAGGCAGAAAAACAAGTACATATGATCAAAAGGAAATATATCAGTGTGTTCAGGAAGATGTCTAGGTTATTAATTACGTACTTAGTAATTTTAATGGCCTCATTTATTGACCGATCATAATCGTCTGCAAAATTATAAGAAATTATATCAGCTCGAATAAAATCATTCGCCCAGAGTCTGAATGCAAAATTATAAGAGAAACTATTAGCTCAGATAAAAGCATTTACCCAGAATATGAACTTTAACAAGCACAGATAAGTCGGTTTTAACACTGCCAGTACTTATGGCAAGGAACCCAAAAAAAACACCGGAAAAAAATTCTTCCTCTCGTAATTAAAATGCAAATTTCTGGTAAAAAAAGATATGCTGGACTTTAAAGTTCCTTACCAAATGTGTAAGTGACAGGTTTTCTGTCACGAAGGGAGCGTCCTGGACCAAGCCCATCAACAACCAAGAAGTTATTAAGAAGAAGAGCTTCTCTATGTTGTTTTTTCAGTAACCTCTCCTTCCTCTGAGCCAAAAAAAGAATCGGATTAAGAAACAATTTGTATGAAGGATAACAGTTTTTGTGATGTTGCTCACTGACAAGAAGCAACTTTTTAGTACCTTGTGTTCCTTTTCAATCTCAGGAAGCATGGCATTTTTTAACTTCTTCCCTAGCGATGTTTCCGTTCTATTTTTACTGGCAAAAAGTTTCTCCTACAACAGCAGATGAAGGATAA